AAACGGGGCGGGGGGGGCACTCTGCAAGGCTGAACAGACGCGCATAAGAGGCCTCAGCATCCCTGATCTGCTAGGGTCCCGAGGAGCTAAGGTGGGGTGGGCTTGGAGGAAAGAAGTGGATCCGAGACGCAGGGGTGATCCAACACTGAGGCAGGACGCCTCGCATGAGGCGGGGGTGGACAGTGTCTGCAGCAGGAGCACAGTGTCTACCCTGCCACTCTCAGAGAGAGGGAGAGAAATGGAGGCAGCTTCTTCCTTAAAACGACAGGATGACAGCCATGACATTATGAGCAGAGAAGCAGAAAAGTACAAGCCTATATTTAGAAAATGGCAACTATCTCTTCACCATCAAATTCTCCTGAAGAACTGCTCTAGACAGGAATGCAGCCCTAACCTGAAAGCGAGATAACAGGGCTTCCTCTGCCAGTTCTTCCTTTGGGGAGGCCCTTGGTGGTGCAGCCAGGCTCGGCCGTGGTGAAGACTCCAAGCCCAGGCCTTTGTCACTGGCCAGTGGGCTGACAGGGCCTGGTCCGTCCTCCCTACTCCCTTGCACCGCCATGGGCTTCGGACCCCTTGAGGACACCAGTTGCAGCTCTGGACTCGCAATCCTCAGGTCCAGCCTGCTGCCTACCAGGGAAGGTGCTTGTCCTGCAAGCTTGGAGAAGCCCTCTGCTTTCCTCACCACTGTTAATACAGGAGAGACTTCTGTGCAAACACCTGAGGTGACTTACCACACCCCAAGAGCTCTTGCAGGAGACACAGAGACACCAAGGAGGGCAGGGAGGCCTGCAGGGGCTGGCTTGCCTCTGACCCCAGCCAAGAACAAAGACTGGAAATCAGACATAAAACCCGGAAACTACAGACACCATTAAGTGCCCAACCCACTGCTAAGCACAAAAACTTATTTTACTTTGCTCTTTCATTTATTTATATTTGAGGTTTCTCATATAAGAGAAACAATGTAATATTTCAGCTTATGTGTCTGATTTATTTCACTTAACATACTGGCACTGATATGTATCCATCCTCCTACAAATATAATAGGAAATGAGGAGACAGAACTTTCCCACATGGAAAGCAGAACAGGAGAGATGTGAGGGAGGGGAGCAGATTAAAAAGAATTAAGATGTGTTATGTACATGTACCAACTCCTCACAAAGAATGTAATAATTACGTGCTGCAAACACATACTAATTGAAAAAATCAGCACTGAATAAAAACTTATTTTAGCCAACAGATTTTACCTCTTCATAATGCAACTATTTTATCAGTACTGAGAAAAGTGGCTAGTTTGCAAACATTTAGTTTTGCTGCTTCTTGGCATTCTCTAGGGAATAAGCCAAGTTGTAATGAGATATTCCAAGCAGAAAAGAGGAGGAACAAAAACCTTGGATAATCTATATTATGTCTAATATACTGCAACCAAATACCCAAGAAATACTATTACTATGCAGTGAATTTGCTGCAAAGGGGAGAAAAGCATAACATAATCAGGAGTTCCGGAGCGATGGGCCCTGTGTCCTCCCCCACCCTTTAATGACTGCAGAGTGACCTGGGAGGGAAGCAAGGGAGCCCTTGGTCGAGTGTGGGCAGTGGCTAATGCACCCCACGCAGGGTGACCCCAGTTTTGCTGCCAGTCTGACCTCGTGAGCCGTGCGGGCCAGGCCAGAGAGAGCTCCACACAGGGCACAGACACCAGGTAAGACAACACCGTCAGTCTCACACGACGTCTGCAGCTGTCCTGAACAAAGGCTGTCCAGGACGTGGGCGCACAGGGATAATTACCATTCACTACACAGAGGGCGGCAACCTTCCAGTTAGCACAAGAGTTTGTCAGGCGTGTGTCACATGGGAAGCAAAACAGCTGTAACTGTGACAGGTTGCTGAAAAATGGCTAGTTTCCTAAACATCCAGTTCTCTGAGTCTGCAACATAATCTTGTTCTTAAATTAAAATGACAACAACAACAGTAGTCATAGAAAAAGCTTCCACTGCAGAAACTGCCAGCTTGCTAAAGTTACAGAGAATGTCCATCGTGTTGGTGAGAAAGCACAGAAGCCTGTCAGAGGCCGTTGGTGACCTCCCCTCACACTGCAGCGCCTGTGCTGTCCCTGCATCGCCACCACAGGAGCGGGCCCAGACCTGTGCCCTCTCGCTCCCGTCCGTCAGCCCCACCCTCCTGGGAAAGTGAGTTACCTTCTCCGGGCCTCCACTTCCACACCCAATGGAGGTCATTATGCCCAATGCACACAGTCGTCATAAAGAGTAAGGAATCGGGTGCAGAGCACTTAGCACTGCAGCTGGCAAAATAACAAGTGTTCAGGAAGCTGCTAACAGAGTCGCACAAGGCTGCCTGCTGCAGAGGGGCTATCTGGGCATTAAGCTTTTTAAATAATGAAATGCAAACATCATCTGACGCGGAAAAGGTGAGAAAAGAAAACAAGTGGTAATAACTGAGGTTTTCCCTGGGTGCCCAGGAAGTTATGCTCCCCATAGAATGGTTTTGGAGGAAAAAAAATGCTTATCCTTATGATATGCCAGCAGAGCTATTTTCTTCTGAGTAAGAAATTGCAGGGAAATCTGGTATTTGAAAGTCTTTGGGAGCCCTTGAAATAGGGCCCATCTTATAATTGACCACTCTTAGCAAATTCTCTGTAACGGCTATAATGAGGGGTTCCAGTTGATGAGGCATCTCATCTCCCCACTGAGAGCACAAAATCTCGTCCTGGTCATGATGCATCTAGTTGATTACTGAATACTCTTAAGCCTCAAAGAAGTGCTAAGTCCATCGCCACCACACACGTCTGCAAACACACACACACACACACACACACACACACACACAAAGTTTAAAAAACTAAACAAATAAAAACCCTGCAATCTCTACCTAGAAGACAAGTGCAGTTGATGCTTCTAGAAGACTAAAGGTCTTAAATCCTTTCCTGTGACATGAAAAAGCTCAAGTTCTAATTAAACTGAAGCAATTAGCCACCCACAGATCCCTAACACTGTTTCCCATGGCCAGGCAATCATCTCTACTAAAACCCATTTTAAAACAAGGAGCAGACCCAAGAGCTCCACCCACACACTCATCCCACCAATCAATTACCCTCCGGACACTCCGTCGGTGTGCTCAGGCCAACTGCCTGCAGAGGCCTTTACGAAAGCACTGACCAGACAGGAGGAGGCAGCTGCAACAAAGAAGGTGGTGAGCAGCAAAGGTGACAATCTGAGGTAACAAAGCCCACAGAGAGAATTGGGTGCAGGATCTCCAAAAGCTCAGCAAAGTGTGTGTGGCTGCAGCCTTAGGCTTCCCCAAGGTTGCTACAACAATTCATCCATCCACTTCATCGTGAAGGAGCGTCTGCCTGCTGACTCAGAGCCCGAGAGTCCTCCTGCATAGCCAGACCACTCTCCAAAGGAAGACTTCACCAGGACTGCCTGTCCCATCTCCCCATCGTCACAGAAGCGCCAACAGGATGCCCTCAGCAGGTCACAGACAGTCCAAGTCACTCAAGCTCCTTTGCTTTCTCTCGGTAGTCAGGTCCCCCATACCTAAGCCTCCCTTTAGTGAAGGGAGTTTACTGTTTGCCGTCAAAACTGTCTCCACGGCGGTCAGTGGGTGAATGATTCGGATTTAAATGCCTGCCTCAAGAGTGGGTTATTTTTTAATCCAGGAAAGTTATCTGATTAATCTAGTCTCTCCCTATTAAACAAGAGCCGTTTTTCCCTTTGTGTATGTATGTGTTTCGTGGAATTGAAAAATTTTTCAACTATTAGGCAGACTTGAAACATGTTGATCTAGACTAGTGTGGTCCAATAGAAATAAGATTTAAAATTTTCCTAGGAGCCACATTTAAAAGGAAAAAGAAAAATGACATTAATCATAATGGAGTGTTTTATGTAATCTGATATATCAAATTATTACTATTTTGATACATAATCAAAGTAGAAGATAAATAATGAAATGTTTTGCAGGCCTTTTAAATACATTCTTTTTCTCATACCACAGTGGTCTGTGCAGACCTACAGCTATGTTAAATTGGCATTGTAGCTTAACCATAGTTAATAATACTGTAATGAATACTGGACAGTTCTGGCAGATTTCAAGAACTCTTGCCAAAAAGAAGAAAAACAATAAAGGTACTAACTAGGTGAGAAGATCGGTATGTTCATTTGCTTCCTTGAGCCAACCATTTCACTATGTATATCAAAATATCACACTGCTTATCTTTTATTTAAAAGGCAAAACTGAACTGACATGAAAAGGCTTCCACAATATTCACTGTGCTAGAAACACTTCACCAAAATGTATGTGACATATCTCACTTTAACTTTATAAAAATCTGTACCCATGTGTTCAGATATGCACAGAAAATGCTTTACAAGGGAAAGCACTGAAAAGTAATAGTAGTTGTTTCTGATAGAATTATCAATAGCCTTCACTTTCTACTTTATTTTCTTTGGTATTGTCTCGATTTGCTTTGTAGTGTGCATATATGGCCCTTAATTATCAGGAACACTGTAAAGCTAGTGTTAATGAAGAACTCTGTCCCTTATTTTAATTTATTATGCCCCTGATCCTGCTGGCACAGTAGCCATCGCCCTATTTCCAGCTAACAGCAGGTATGGCCAGCAGGCCTGCCCATCTGGAGTCATCGGTAGGAAAATGGAGGCAACTAGAGACCGTAATGTTAAGTGAAATAAATCAGATGTACAAGCTTACATAGCACATGGTTTCTCTTCTATGAGAAGTCCAAAATATAAGTAAAGAGCAAGATCAAAGATAGATAATAGGAAACAGGGAGGCGGATCTTTTGCAAAAAGAAGGATTCCAAGAGCTAGAGGGAGGGGAAAAGGAGCTGACAAAAACGACTGAGCTGTGTTATGTACATGTACCAGCTCCCCGTGATGAGAGTAAGCACTGTGTGCTGCAAATGTGTACAAATAAAACTCACAGTTAGAAAGAAGGTATGCCCACCCCAGCAGTATGGTACTTACAGCCAATCATCATGATAGCTACCGCGAAAATCTTCTCAATGTCTGTGGACGGGGCAATGTTCCCAAAGCCCACGCTGGTGAGGCTGGTCATGGTAAAATACAGCGAGGAGATGTAGACAGAGTTCTTGCTGGGACCTCCTTCCCACTTGCCTGAGCCAGACCCATTAAACTGGTAAGGGGTGCCAATGTCCATCGCCAGCTGGTACAGCCAGCTGTTGTTGCGGATCGTCTTGGTGTCCTCGTCGAAGATCTCATAGTCCCCGATGCTGTACCAGATGCAGGCCATCCAGTGTGCAGCCAGCCCGAACACACAGACCAGCAGGACCAGCACAGCGGCTCCATATTCAATGTAGTGGTCCAGCTTCCGGGCCACTCGCCCAAGACGGAGCAGCCGGACAACTTTCAGAGAGCTGAACAGGCTGCTGATGCCCTGGGAGAAGAGGAACAGCATCATGGCCAGAGAATCAGAGACACCTCCCATCCCCCTTCTCCCCACTTCAGCCATTATTTTAAGTACAGTATATTTCCATGAGATGCAGCATTATGCAACCTTTAAAGACTTAACATTAGAATTGTTTTACAAAGTGTATGGCATGCAGAGCTCTCTTAGCTTTTCCTATTTCCACTAAAAAGCAAATAAGCACAAACAATATTAGTATTATGCTATACAAAGTATATAAATACATACGAGACTCTTTCCATATCATGACTTATTTTAAACCAACTTTTAAGGAATGCATAATATTTCATATTGCATAATATGAAATATTTTAGAGGTTTCACAATATCTATTTCATATTGCATGATCTCAATCCATTGTATATAAGCATATATATAATGCATTGTCGAATTATGGAAACTCAGGCAAGTTTTTTTACATTGTACATATTTCTGTTATACTTGTATATATTTACTTAATTTCTACAGTATTACTTTATAATTATAAAGGGGAAAGATCGCGAGAGTAGAAATGTAATGTGGGGACGGAGACCCCTTAAGCCACCCCCTTGGTGCAAATCTGGGCAACTGGGTCACCTCTCAGTGCTCCTGTCCCCAGTGAAGGTGGAGCAGAGAACATCTCATCCTCCTACAAACAACACCACACTCTCCTCTCCAAGGGAAAGTGAATCATATGAAGGAAGCCATGTCATTTAACCCAAAAATTGTGCTATGGTGATTCCAAGATGCGTGTACAGAAAATTTCCATTAAGTTTTCCCTACTCCCAACCAAAGCAAATAGACAAGAAAACAGACATTTTTTGAGTCAAGACTCTGCCTCCCTTACACTGCAAAACTCTAAAGGAAAGGTGTCCTTTACCAAGCAGACTAAATGACATTTCACTTTTCTAAACATTAGACAGCATTCAGGTCACTGCTAGTGTCTCTTGGACACTGTCCTCTTAATGACAACCTCCAAGGGTCAAGTCAGGTCACAAACAGAAGACGATGCAGAAATGTCTCCCGATGCACCTGTGTTCGTGAGAGGCTCACCAAGGCTGCCCCTCCTCCCAGGAGCATCGCTGAACTGTTTCCTAGTCTCCTTCCATCAGGGTGGCCCTGGGCCTAGCGCCCATCCATGGAATGTGAGGTACATTGTGTCACTTGTAGGCCACGGCACGCCTCTTCTCCCCCGGCCTGAGGAAAAGCCAGGGGCTCCTGTGGCTTGAGGCAATGCCCGAAAGACAGTGGGCAGCACCATGGAAAGAGCCTGGGTCCCGCCACCACCAGGCACCTTAAATTGCAGTATGATGTGAATGAGGAATAAACTTCTGAATAAGCCACCAAAACAGCACGAACTTCCTCTGACAAAGACAGAGCCCTTCAGCCCTGTGCACACGTGAACCCTACCTACCATAGTCCCACCAGAGCAGACCAGAAAGAAGACTGACACAGAAACTATTTTTGTTGAGGTGAGAGCGGGAGAGGTGAGATTTATTGCTCCTTTTAAAACAAAACAACAGTTTCATAGCCATAAAACTTAGGACAAAAATAATAGTGTCTTGTCTAACATACTAGCAAAAGGCTTAACTCAAGAATCATAACAGATTTTCCTTCATCATGGGACTACATGCTTAGAGTTAGTTATGACTGACAGGTTTGCCACTGGTATGGCCGCGATGCCTCCCCTGGTCTCTTTTCCTTCCGTGTGTTTTTCTCAAAAACCTGCCATGCAGAAAGGGCTGAGAAAATCCCTCCTATTAAGGTGCAACAGACTGACAGTAAATGGATGTCCTCTCTCCAGAAGGCATCTGCTTTCTAACAGAGGGGAAACAACGGTCAACAGTAGAATTAAAAACATCCACTGCCTAGGTCAAGGAGGAATTCAGGGAGTCAAAGGAGCATTTCTGATGACTCAGAAATCCAACGGCATGGAAGCAGCCACCCCTCTGAAGCCAAGCTTCTGACCGAGGGCAAAACTGCCTTGTCCTTCTTCCTCACTCCAGTTCGATCCAAAGCAGCATTTCTGCCTCTGTGAGCCCCTACAGAAATGGCCAGCTGCCTCCCCCGGACCCTTCCCCTCGACTCTCCCTGGGATATCTCCGAGTCACACTCACTCAGGGAAACAAAGGGCGAGGCTACTTGGCGCCTCCCCATCTCCTCCTCCCTCTTCCCTGGCTTCCCCGTGCCCACTGCAATACACGCAACCCCTACTCCAGGCACTGGGGATTCCACACTGTGGGTGCTCACGCTAGCTCTCCAGCCCAGGATGCCCCGTCTGGCTACCCTGTCACTGCATCCTTCAAGCTTGTCACCAACCCCAGCCTGCAGCCTTGCACGATGGCTCTACAGTCACAACCACTCCCTGATTCCTCTGCATGTCCACAGTATTCTGTCCCCATTACCACCTGAACACACTACCTTGCACGGCAGTTTTCTGGACAGATGTTCCCAACCTCAGCTTCCTGAAGGAAGAAGTCACTTCTTACTAATTTCAGACGTCTCTGTATTGAATAAATCCCCCTCCAAAACTTGATGTCCTTCTCAGAACCTCAAAATGTGATTTCATTTGGAAACAGGGTCACTGTGGCCTACTTAGTAAAGATAAGGTTATACTGCAGGAGCTGTCTTTATAAGAAGAGAAGAGAGGAACTCAGAGGGAGAACATCGTGTCACCGAGGCAGACAGAGTTGGAGCGCTGCATCTTCAAACCAAGGCGTGCCAAGGGTCGCTGGCAACGGCAGAAGCAGGAAGTCTCTCTCCGGGGCCCTGCTGAGGCCTTGGTCTCGGGCTTCTTGTCTTCAGACTGTCAAGGGCAGAGTTTTGCTGTGTGAACCCCTGGTTTGTGCTCATTTATCCTGGCAGCCCTAGGAAGCTGAGAGACCCACATAAGCACAGCACCTTTTCAGAAAGGATCTCAAGCATTTTCTACACTGAAGGAGAGGTTTTTAATTATTAGGGAATTCTTTATCACTCTGAGGTGGCTCTAACAAATACAAAACAAGAACTTCTTCACGGTGGCATTTATCTCTGTGCACAAATACTCTTCCACAGTGGTTACGTAAGTTCTTTTTAGTGCAGTAACAGCTGGAATTCTAGCTGTTTAAAAGCATTTCACACTATTCATTTGGTTCCCCTTTACTTTCCTGCAGTTCAGTAGATGAGATAAATAGAACAGAATACTCCAAACCTTAAAAAAAAATGTAGTACACTAAAACATGACCACACCCTATGGTAGAGGACTGCGTTCCCAGAGAACTTCTGGCATCAGAAAGCCACCAAACATTTTAAATACACCATTTGCTTAAATTTGCCTTTACCTGGCCTTCTCATCTAATGAGGTTTACCAATTCTCTGCTCAGTTCTGGTTTTTCCCATCATAAATATAAAGTCACAAGCTGGTGATGATGAGTTATTGAAAAGAAGTAGTCTTTCGGGTTCGTAGGGTCCCACCAGGCTTCCAGGTCTGCGTGGAGACACCACGGCAGCTGCTGCTAATTCTGGACGTTGCCTTTTTGAGACTTCTGTTTACCGTTTTCAATCCCACAGTACTCACGACTCTCTGTTCCTACATCCCTGTCCAACCAGAGGCCTCCTCATTCTTCCAAGTCCTCTGGAACCCACCTTCACATGGAGAGAAATTCCAAGCTCTGGAATCTTTATGGATTATTCCCAACTACCTTCTGGCTTTAGGTAGAACCTGGCTTTTCCCTCGCATGCTGATTTTCCCCATTCTTCCCGATATCTGCTGTTAACATCTGCTGTTAAGAGTAGGAAGCTTTTGAATGCTACACTTGCATCTTCCAAACAAGTGCTCTTTGGCACACGCACACACAAGTCTTCTCTCCTTTAAGATCCAGCGATTCCACCTCATTACTGTGAACTGATTATTGACAGGTAACATCTATTGAATGGCGTATGAATATGCCAGGACTTGCGCTTGGGATTTTTGCTAATTATCTTGTTTATCAACTTCATGGCCCCTGTCTTGCATTTCCTGGATCTATGTACCTGGCTCTCCAGCCCATCTCTTGCTGTTAGTTTCAGGAGCTTTATGTCCATGGGAAAAGTTATTTCCTACTCTACTCTCTGACGTCCTCCTTTGGCCCCCGCTCTATGTGATCCCTGCAAACATTTCACTTCTGAAATACACCAGCATTCTGCACTAGGGTTAAAACCCTCCACTTCTCATTCTCTCTACCTTCTCCCCACCCTGCTTACTCTTTGGCTTTTTTTTGTTTGATACTCCTATTTCTTCATGTCTTTTTTCCCAACCATCAACTCTATCCAGGTTCTATTTCTTTTCCTGTAATACTAGACTCTGCACTAGTTAAATCATGTCAAATACTCTTTCCCCACCACCCTAAGGACCTTTCTTCCTTGCTCTCCTCCCAAACTTCCTCATCTCCCCGAAACCAAAATCAACACAAAATGGTTCAGTGTCCTTATTGCCCTGTTTCTTAATCTACAATCAGATGTCTACTGCCAGCATTTCCTAGAATCTACTTCCATAAGGTTATCAATGGCCTTCTAGTTGTTATGTCTTCAGTATCTAATCTTTATTATAAACATTTGGCATTTTTGGCCTGATCACACAGTATCTAAACTGTCTTCGTTTGTTTGGCCAATGGCTATTTATACAATGGTGCCAATTGCCCACCCAGAACCTGAGACACCAATCTTTGGATCACTGAATAGTAACTAATGCATGAACTGTGCAGGGCCCTTTCAGCTAGAGCACAGCCACAGTGTCAGGTCCCAGAGGCGGCAGGAGACAGTGTGAAAGTGGAACCTAGAGGCAGTATCCAGACGGTGGGTGCTACAAGCTGTGGCACCGCCAGTGGTATATCCATTCCTGGTTCTGCAGCGTGATTTCAGGCACTGTGTCTTGTCACATACAGCCTCCAAAAGTTTTCCTTGGTCGTTTCAAAACTTCTACGAGTACCAAATACCCTTTTAATAACTTTTCTTCCTTAAGTTAGCCAGGCTAGA